ACTTGGAATCACTCACTGACCCTAATTGTAATGAGGCATGGATAAGATATTTGTATTGCTGATGTATAGAAATAGGTAGTGGAGCCATTTTTGGAGAGTTTCTAGAAGTTTTTTTAAATTGGGGCTAAATTGATGGTCTATGTGAGATTCACCAAAAAATATTCTACAAGGGCTTAGGATAGTTGTTTAGGTGGAGCTGACCTTTAAATTCTTCTAGAACAGTAGTTACCTAAGTGGAACCTACATTTGAAAACTTCTAGAAAGATGATTATCTTGTTGAGTATAATAAAAAAAAATATAGATAAATGATAAGTAGATAATAAAATCTATTAATGTTATAATAATTTTTTATAAAAATAGATTTTATTTAATTTGTAGAGCCATGAATAAGGCAAAATAAAGTAGATTAGAAAAATAATAGATATAGACATATATAGGAGAAAGTTAGGAGTTGATTTTAGTAAAAATTACCTCAAGAAGATAAGAATTGATACTTACAGAGGATTAGTTATCAATCAGGGTTGAAATTAAATTCTAAAGCACAAAACAAAGCACCTATGTGTTAGGAACATATTCCTTAGAACTTTCTAGAGAGAAGTTTCTAGAACCTTCTAGAAAACAAGCCTCTGGAACCTTTTAGAAGAGAAGCCTCTGGAACCTTTTAGAGAGAAGTTTCTAGAAGCTTGTAGAAAGGAAGTCTGTGGAACCTTCTAGAAGAGAAGTTTCTAGAAGCTTCTAGAAAGGAATCCCCTGGAACTTTCTAGAAGCTTCCTAGTTAATAGAAGTAGCTCGAGAAGTTTCTAGAACCTTCTAGAAAGGAAGCCTCGGGAACCTTCTAGAAGCTTCCTAGTTAATAGAAGTAGCTCGAGAAGCTTCCTAAGTAGGAGTATATATAGGGATCGAGGCTGAAGAGTTCTTCAGTCTCGACAACACATCTCTTAGAGTTCTAGCTCACCTTTCTGGTGTTGTTCTTGTACTCATCTGTTTAATCTAGTTCTGCCACTTCTTCTTGAACTTCTTGTTAGATTTCAAGTCTGTATTTTGTGTCCGTGACAGTTTGTCGAGACTATACTAACTTGAGATATCAAAGCTAGTTCTTTCTTAGTAGAGTGTGGATTACCCCTCTACTTGAAGGTATACTAGCATTTTTTAGAGGTTGCGGATTACCCTCCTCTAAACTGATACTTCTTTTGTTACAATATTGGAGTCTTATTCTTCTTCGAGAGAGTGGATTACCCCTCTTCTTGAAATTCTTAAGGCGTTTTATAGGTTGTGGATTATACTCCTATAAACCAATATTGCCTCTTATAGGGTCATTTTTGTCCTTCTTTTAGAATGGCCGGAGGTCAAGACATTAGTATGACAGAAAATTCGGAGTCTAAGTTAGTTGCTATTATGAATGCCCTCGCTACGTTATCACAAAGAACTGCAGAGATTGAAGGAGTGGTGGCAAGGCTTCATAATGATGGAGTATCTGGGATAGCACAATCTAAACTACACCAGCCTCAAATTTCGGCACTTGGAGAAACAACTTTACCTCAGGTTCGACAAGAACCACTAGTTCTATAACATAAGGAGCCTCGAGTTAGCCTTCCAGATAAGTTTGATGGAACACGTTCCAAGTTTTGAGGATTCGTCAATCAAATCAGGTTGATAACAGTTTTACAGCCCGAACGATATCCAACGGAGGAGTCACGTGTTGGGCTTGTTGGAACCTTACTTATGGGACAAGTTCTATCATGGTTTGCTCCTTTGTTTGAGAAACGA